GACTAGCTAGGGCTATCTTACCTTTCTTATTAGCATTTTGCCCAACTCAGCCCAGGTAGACAGGTGATTAGAATTTGTTCTGATAAATACAAGAAAATGCTCTCTATAACAGTCAACTTTAGATATGCATAACAGATATATGCAGCAAGACAACAGGTATATAAACCAAGCTCATATTCTGAGATTTAAAAATTTTTTACGTATTGATTTTTAGAGAGATGGAGCGATATCGATCCATTGTTCCACCCATTGATGCATTCATTGGTTGCTTCTTGTATGTGCCCTGACCAGAGATCGAACCCACAACCCTGGCGCATTGGGAAGACACTCCAACCAACTGAACTACCATTTACCTTGTCCTTTAGCATGTAAAGAGTCAAGTCTGGAAGATTCTCATTATAGCATTTACTCCAGAGTATAAAGACAGTCCCTTTTCCAACCTTATGGCGGTTACTTGGTCAGAATAAAGAGGAAGAGGAGGTTTAAGTAAATTTTATCTCTTTTCAGCCGAAGAAATTTGGAGATGAAAAAAGGAAAATAAGAAAAACACTGTAGCCCTGGCCAGCGTGGTTCGGGTGGCATCACAGCACACAAGGGACTGCTGGCTCCATTCCCAGGAGGCAAGCTGATCAATCATTCTTGCTCATCACTGATGTTTCTATCTCCCTCTCCCTCTCCCTTCCTCTCTGAAATCAAGAAAAATATACTAAAAATAAATCAATAAAATATGTATTTTTTAAAAAGAAAGCATCTGTTAGGAATTATCTGTTACATCCCAGACTGCCACCAACTCCGGGAGCCATCTATTACCTCTTCCACTTCAATGCTAGACATACTTTGGCCAAAGAGATCGACTTACTATTTCACTGAATACAGGGATGTCCTTATGGTTTTACAAATTTAAAATTACTTTTTTTCTTCAATCACCTAATTAGCATAATTTTTCAAAGTTGTATACTAATTTGGGATTTGTAAAACCACACTTAGTTGTAAACATCCAAGAATGTATAGTTAATTTAAGATCCTTCAGGAAACTCCTTTTCATACTTTCCATGAATTAAATAAAATAATTATTTTCTCTATATTTATGTACACAGGCTAACAAACAGAACTTGTATAATTTATATGCTTTTAAAGCCAAGGAGTCTCAACAAATAGAAATACATAAACTCAAATTTAAAAAACACACAAAAACTTTTTTTACTTTATTCTCTATATAGAATTAAATGTACTTCACACAACTTCCATGAAAAGCATTATCAGCTTCTTTAGATGAACTAAATCCAAACTACAAAGAAATCTGAGTTTTAATTAAAATAAATTTCATCATTTCTCTAGCATTGCACACACAAAAATTAAATATAGGAATGTATTTAAACTAGCACCCATTTGTTTTGACCTTTAAGAATCACATACTTTTATCATTTGGATTCTAAGATGATGAAAGAGAAAAACATCAGACCTTTTTTTGTGAAGGCTCAAGAAACAAAACATTTCCTGATCAAATTAAAATAAAAAATAAAAACACTAAACCTTTCTTGCTGGGCAGCTGCCTATTATGTTTAACAGGCTTAAAACAAAATGTGTCAAAGATCAAGAGTAAGTTATCTGATATGTCAAATGCATAAGGTCAAAGGTACAATTTTATTAGGTCAGAGGTGGTATAAATAAAGTCTTGTATGTCAAAGAAGGGTCACAGACCAGATGTACAAAATATAAAGACATCACAAATGACAAGTAATAACTTTAAGTAGGACAAGTATGTTTACTATAGATACCTCCACTGATTAAAAATGAAACTTCCATGTGAGAAAGATAAAACTGCCTTTCTAGATCAGATAAGTCATGTGCTATAGTGCACACTTGTGTTCATGAAGAAGGGGCTATAACTAAAAATAACTGCAGTCAAAGAACCGCTTAGTGAAGGTGACAGGCTCTGAGAAATGCATGTGAGCCGACTTCACTGCTGTGCGAACCCACAGCGACTCACTCACACCTGGTGGTGCAGCTGCCACACCGCCGGCCGCGGGGACAGCCCCCGGCTCCCAGGCTGGTCTGTGCACACGTGACTGCACTGAATACTCGGGCAACTGCAGCACAACGGCAAGTCTGTGCATCTAAACACAGAAAAGGTGCAGTGAAAATACGGCAGGAAAGATAAAAATGTGCTCCTTTCAGAGCACGCACCACGAGTGGAGCTTATACAGGACATGCTTATACTAGACTAATCTTTCAACTCCAAAAGCCGCACAAAATATACTGAACATCTCTTTGAGGGCAGTAAAAAACAGCCAACACAGCAAGCTTGAGAGATCATGATCCCTAAACAAGGGGGGCAGCACATGAGGGAGCTCCATATGCATTCTCGACTTTTCCTTGTGGGCCATGCCAACTTCTGGCACAGGATAACAGCGCAGCCCACAAGTAGCAGTCTTACCGAACTGAGGAGACAGAATAGGGTTTGGAGAAGTCAAAGTGGTTGGAGCTTGAGAGGCAAAAGTCAGACAGAAGTGAGCCCAAACAACTGCAATTTTCCCTCCAAAACTGGTCATATCCAGATACTCAAGAGAAAACAGTAGCTTCATTCCTTCTACCTATTCATTAAGAACCAATTAGAGAATTACCCCTGCTTCCTGGCCGCATCCAATTCAGGGCAAGCCATATGTCCTTGAACTATCCCCTCCTGCCCAAAATCACCCGGAACAGGCCCAAATCCTGTAAGTCCGTTCTAACACCTTATTGAGAAGCCCCATAACACCCCATGGCATTTCCCCCTTTTTTAACAAATCAATAAACCCAATTTTATTCAACTATACCTTTGTTTCTCATGGTCTTTGCCTGGAGGGCATTGACAGAAAGCTAAGAAAAAGAGTGAACTGTATATAACTTCACATCAACATAAGGGATCATCTCAAAGACTTCAGGTTGAGTGCAAGAAGCCAGACACAAAAAGTACATACTACACGATACCATCTATCACATCAAGGACCGGCAAGATAATTGATGGTGCTAGTACTGACAGACTAGTTAGTTACCTTTTGGGGGTGTGACTAGGACAGGACATGAGGAAACTTTCTGGGGTGCACGAAATTACCTAAAACTTGACATGAGTGGAACAAATATAAACATTCATTAACCTATACATTTGAGTTCTGTGTACTCTAATACATGCTTTCGCTTCAAGAAAAGGGTTAAACATACATGTGCACCTACATCAATTATGGCCCTCAAAGAACCACAATAACGTTAAGAGATGCAAGACAGCTCTAACTGGTGTGGCTCAGTGGATAGAGCGTCGGCCTGCGGACTCAAGGGTCCCGGGTTCGATTCCGGTCAAGGGCATGTACCTTGGTTGCAGGCACATCCCCAGTACGGAATTGGCAGGAGGCAGCTGATCGATGTTTCTAACTCTCTATCCCTCTCCCTTACTCTCTGTAAAAATCAATAAAATATATTAGAAAAAAAAAGAGATAGAGAGATGCAAGACAAACATGAACTTTTCATCTTTGGGAATTTCTTATAACAACAACAACAAAAAAAACCCCTAGAAATTCAAAGATTAGCAATGCCACCCATGTCTCAGTAACAGTAGGGAGAAATTATTTATTAAAATGCTTACATAAATCTAAATTCCAGGGCAATAATAATTATAGGTATATAAATAATGCATTTCCAAAAATTTCTAAATCATATACTATCATTTAATTAAGATATTATTATATACTAGAAGCCTGTTGCACAAAGATTTGCGCAATAGGCCTTCCTTCCCCTGGCTGCCAGCACTGGTTTTCCTCCGGCACCTGGGACCCAGGCCTTTGGTCTGGCCGCAGATGGCCAGAGCGAAGCAGAGAAGGTGCCTTGCTCCCTCCCGTGTCCACTGCCTCGGCTCCCTCCCTTCTCTGCCGCTTCACTCCCTTCTGCAGCACTTGGCTTCCTTCTATGCTGTCTTCAGTCTTCGCTCCATGCCTGCATATGCAAATTAACTGCCATCTTTGTTATGTTAATTTGCATACTCATCCTGATTGGCTGGTGGGTGTAGCAGAGTGACACCAATTTGCATGTTTCTCTTTTATTAGTGTAGATACTATCATATAAATCGCACAGTTTTATACGAAAAAAAATTGTTTTGAGAGAGGAAGGAAGAGGGGGAGAGAGATACAAACATCAATGATGAGAGAGAATCACTGATTGGCTGCCTCCTGCATGCTTTCCACTGGGGATCAAGCATGCAACCCAGGCATGCGCCCTTGACCAGAATCAAACCCAAGACCCTTCAGTCCTCAGGTCAACACTCTATCCACTAAGCCAAACTGGCTAGGGCTGAAATTTTTTTTTTAAATATATTTTATTGATTTTTTACAGAGAAGAAGGGAGAGGATAGAGAGTTAGAAACATCCATGAGAGAGAAACATCCATCAGCTGCCTCCTGCACACCCCCTACTGGGGATGTGCCCACAACCAAGGTACATGCCCTTGGCCAGAATCGAACCTGGGACCCTTCAGTCCACAGGCCGACGCTCTAGCCACTTAGCCAAACTGGTCAGGGCATAGGGCTAAAATTTTTATTGTCAACTGTTTTCCAAGAAATGTAGAGCATCACTAATAATTCTTTTCTTATATTATCTATAATAATAAAAGCGTAATATGCAAATCAACTAAATGTCCGAACAGCTGAGTGATAGTCCGGACGACCTTCCGGACAAAGCCAAGGCTGTGAGGGCTGAGGCAGCTGGGGCTGGGAGGGCCGAGCCCCTTGAATGAATTTTGTGCATCGGGCCTCTAGTTAAAATATAAAAACACCACAATTTTATACTAGAATTATATTAAAAACAGTATTAAATTCTTATTTTTATGTTTTGTGTTAATATGTACACTAAAATAACACATTTGTATACTATGACAGTAGTTATTAAGTGTTAATATAGTTTTAAATAATCACAGAACTACACAGAACATGGCCTTCTTAGTATAAAGGTGTGTAAATGAAAAGTGGAGCTCACCACTTCCTCATCCGAGAGCTCTCTCCCTTGGATGCTGCTGCTCTCTCGCACGGCTTGCTGGTGCTTCCTTCCCTTAATGTGGCTGAACAGATACACCTCTGAAGAGATCTACAAGCACAAAATCAAGGCAATGTCATTAACCTAGACTTGCATCTATTTTTAATGTTACACAGTCAACTCAGTAGACTATACGCGAGTTGAGATCACTCTAGCATTTACATACTAGGCTTACAAATATTTTCTTTAGAATTCTCAGGACTCCTCTGGAATAGACATGGTCAAAAAAGGCATCCCATTACAGCCAACTTCAACAGGGCATCACTTCCCCTAGGTATCAAAGTTCAAGTTTCAGCACCGAAGACATCCCTTTTCTTTTTTCGTACCAACACCCAAGCACAGTGCCACGGAACACTACGCAGGTACACTTCCACTCCAGCTGCTTCGGCACTCTGCACTCCTGTTCCCAAGTGCTCACCCTATGTTGTACTACTCACTTTGCGTAAAAACGAGGAAAGAAATTCATGGTATTCAGCAGATGCCTTTGTGTGAGTTTTAAAAAACAGGGAGAGTAGGGGGAGAAACCAAGATGGCGGCAGAGATAAACACTGGAAATTGCTGCCTCGCACAACTACTTCAAAAATACAACTAAAAGACAAAATGGACATCATCCAGAACCACAGGAAGGCTGGCTGAGTGGAAAGTCTACAACTAGAAGGAAAGAGAAAAGCATACCGAGACGCAGAGGAGGCGCAGTGCTGAAGTAAAATACTGAGGTGCAGAGTGCATGCGGACTGGGCTGGCGGTTGTCTGTTTCAATCGGGAGGGAGTCTCAGACTCTGAGCTCCAGATCCGGGCGAGTCTCTAGGGACCCAGACTCAAACCGGAGAAGTGGGACTGTCTGGCTTCGGTCGGAACTCGAAGGCAGCTTTCTCTCCGAGGTTTTCAGCGGTTGCTGGGACTCTGAGAGGCAGAGC